CCTAAAATGGCCACTTGTAAACTTCCACCACCAAAATTGGGGATGATGTTGACCACTTAGTGATTCATCTTCTGCTACTAGTTAACTTACTACAGGCATCTGGTTGGCTTTGTTGGAAAGGAAGCTAGACAGAAACAAAAGAATTGTCCTTATGTTCTTTAGATAACACAAATGCACAATCTGAAAATAATATTTTTAGGCAGTTTTGCTAAAGGTTCAGTCTTTCCTATGGTGAGGCAGTGACCGTTTACGTTGGAAGGAGTGGAGCTGTACCAGGGCACCATCCACCTGCAAATGTACAGACAGGGAAAAAAACACAACGTTGGTGGAACTGTGAGAAACTCCTTCCCTGCTGATCCTAAGTCATGCACTGGTCTATATAAGGAAATACAGTTTTTCATATACCCTGGATCCAAGCCATAAAAGGCTTGAAAAGTCAAAATCAGCACTTTGAATTCTGCCTAAATATGAATGAGTAGACAATGTAGCTGCCTCTAAAAAGGAGTCACATGGCTCTTGAACCTAGCCCTAGTCAACAGCATTTTGGACTCACTTAAGTTTCCAAAGGCAGCCCCACATAGAGTGTGTTACAGTAGTTTTATCTGGGATGTAATCATGGCATGTGTCACTGTAGCCAAATCTGGCTTCGTAAGGATTGGGAACAACCAGCACACTAGTTTGAAGTCAACTAATTGAATTTAACTTGATGGTAGTTAACAACAACAACTACTACGGTCAGTCTACATCGATGTTGCTACCATCTTGATGGCATCAGAATGGAATATTCTCTTGTACAGGAGTGTGTGTGTGTGTGTAAGGATAATGCAAATCTTACTGTCATAAAGAAGCTGGATCACACTATTAGGCACTTTTGTTTTCATTTATGTTATTGAGAATTATGAATTATTATCTGTGGCTCCACTGAGATATACAGCTAGCACACATTGGGTTTTTCCTTGCCTGCTAGTAATATTTCATGAATTTCATTGGAATGTTGCCCCACAACACACAGGACTTCAGGAGATAACTTCACAATTACCACAATCCCTTAACAATACCTCCACACACCTAACAATGAAGCAAAACCAGTGGTCACAGAAGTTGCCTAATACCCTCTTTTCCCCTCCTCCTAGGAACCCAGTCAGGCTAGCTAACACTAATTGCTATTCATTGTGTCACCAGTATAGACCATTGCCCTCCTTACACTGGGGAAATTAGTATCCATTACCTCAAATCCGCCCACATTCTTTCCTTCACATACCCGATAAGAGGCAGAACCAGCAATAGCCACAAAACCTCACTCTGAGCAATGATAATTTATTAAATTCCCTCCAAACCTGGAGGCCAATTGGCAATAATGACAGACAGCACATCCCAGCCAACCAGTCTGCAGATCCTGTCCTTCCATGACCTGGACCAGTTGACACTTAGGGCAAGAGAAATCCTTTGTTACAAACTGCTATCAAAGTGCTATAAATATTTTTGCATGTATGCATTGAAGTATGTCAGTAATTTGGAGTGCTTTCTCTACTGACATCCTCTCTGGCCATGAGAATAAACCTCTCTTTTTGCCTTCTACTCATCTGTGTCTCATTCAGCCTTCTGGGAAGCTAGACACTCCAGGCCCTTGAACTCACAATTTCGCAGAACTGAAGTCACTTAACATTTACAAGAATTGGTCCCTTCTAAATAATATTTTCACGATAGTTAGCTGTAAAAAGCAAAATGTTATTGCCTAGCAATTGCTTAATAGCTAGTCCATGCTGACATGTTTATTATAAAACTTTAATTTTATATTTCCATCAACACGCTGAGGGAAAAACCTGGTATACCTGTTAAGGTCTTTCATCTTGTTTTTGAGGACATGAGCACAAGAATGAAATAAAGGTGTAATTGAAAACAATTGTTAGAAATGTAAAGCAGGGTGGGAAAATGCAGATTCATGCATCTCTGAGATGCTTTTGTGGTTCACAGAAATTAAAAATATAAATTTTTACTTCCCCAACCATTAAAAGGGGTTTTTTAAAAAATACAAATGCTCCTAATGCCATTGAGAGTGGTCCATGGCAACTTCACAGCAGCATCAAAGTTCTCTTACTAGTACATTGAAATTATGAACCGCAGTTCATTAACATTCCTTGACTGCATTGACAGGAAACAGCTTTATGGTAATAAACCTATAATGTATCAGAGATAACACTGTTACAGCCACACTCCCTTTCTCAGTCCACAAAGTAAATGAATGGCCTTGTTAAGACAGATTAGAAGCTCTTCATTTCCAGTACGACTCCATATTTCCTTGGTTTTGTTTAATTAGGATAATGCAACCACTTTTCTATGGTTCTGTACCGCTTTTTGGAAAGCTGTAAAATAGCTGATCCCAACCTGATTCCATTCAGATGTTTTGGACTACAGCCCAGTATTCTTGACCATTGACCATGTTGGCACAAGTTAATGGGAACTGAGGCCCAAAACATCCGGAGAGTGCTGTCCTGGGGAAGGCCTTGGAGAAGGGAGGAAGTGAAAGAAAAAAAGAACGTTAACTCACTAATTTGTAGAGCAGCTATGTTGGTCTTTAACAGCACAATAAGCAGAATCTTATGAGACTTTAAAGACTAACATTTATTTATTTATTTACCACTTTCCTTTTTGCACAGGATCCAAAGTGGCTCACAGTGAAACAGTCTATGAAAGTTTCTTCCAGTTAAGCCACCAGAAGTGCCAGCAAATTAAAAATTCATCACAGTGAAGATGATTTGCAGAGGCTGGAGAAATTACTTTTGATTTACAACTCCCAGAATCCCCTAGCTACCATGGTCATGATAAGTCAGAAAGATCAGTGTGAGCAGGCAAATATGAACAGGGCAAATTGGTCAGTAAACATTGACGAGTCTCAGTTTAGTTGCTTGAATTTGTCTCCCTTCCCTCCAGTTTTTCAGCTCTGCATATTTACTATATGGATGTAATACTAAAACATGCAAATTAGAAATTAATGACTTCAGTACACCTGCTTGCTATGTAAGCACATTGAATTAATAGAGAAAGAGCTATGAACACCAAATAATTGTTCTGGTAGACCTAGTAAATGCCTAGATAACTGTTTTGTCCAGGCCCCCAGCATGGTTTTATGGCCAACTTCTGCTGGAATTTCTGCCTGATGTTGACCATAGAATTACACTGGAGGCTTAGAAAGATAACTTCTCTAGATATTTCCAAGATCCCCCAGAGCAATGAAGATGTGCTTCGGCCAGCAGCCCAAAGCATTGTTCATTTCAGGTAAGAAAAATAGGGTCCCATGTTACATGAACATTGTATTACACAAAGGGACCTGGAATGGATCCCTCATGCAATATATGTTCCTGTTGTATAGACATGCAAAGGTTGCTGTGAGAAAACATGCAGGAAACACATGTCTTATTTTGAGTAGAATTGTAAGTCTTGCACACACCATGGCCCTTCGAGACAGGTACTTTACCCAATGGTCTGATCCCAGGTTTTCTGGTTTAAACTAGATTATATGAGTCTGCACTGACAGATAATCTGGAATAAACAGAAAACCTGGGATCAGATCCTGGGATATAGGGCCTGTCTGAAAGGGCCCTTAGTTTTTAAAGGGAAGTGTAGCATTCTTTTTGTCACTGCCACCACACTGTTGAGATTCAGATGCAACCCCACCTTGGCCTCAATAGTAGGCAAGTGTGAGTCCATACCACCACTAAAGAGTGCATTGATCCAGGTCCCCAATATGCTTGATATGCTTATCAGAACTTGTCATGTAAATTGGTCTCCACCAGAAGCCTGCCGCATGAAACCAAAGCTGGGAAACATTACTTCTTTAGACTATAACTCTCGCAAAATTCTCCTGTGACCAGACTGGCTCAGGGATTCAGGAAGTTTTGCAACACAAAGAAGTAACTTTCCCCAGTTCTGTATGAACAAATGATACTGGGTGGATCTAGACAGCCCCTTTATTGCAGAAACAATAAAAAGGGGGCTGTCCAGACAATGTTCTGGCAAAACCAGAAATAATTCACCACAAACCAAGAAAACCCTGGTTTGTGGCAAATTAATTTGATAGTGGGTTTATTCCGTACTTTCTTGGAAGACACGGGATAAACCCACTACTTCTGATATCTGGATTGCAGAATATTGGCCTGAGAAAATTCTCAGGCCAACCCTCTCCCTCAAAGTACTTACCCAGCCTCCATTGGAGGGCTGCTGCAACTCTCCGAGCACATAGAAATGATGCATCAGAAGAAAGGGGGGGGGGGGGAGAGGAAAATCACTCCTGCCCCCTTTTTCTCATGGCGTGTCATTTCTACGTGCCAGGAGTGCTGTGGCAGCTCTTTAATGGAGCCCAGGTAAGTAGTTTTCTTTTTAAAATGGCTTTTTAGGGCTTTTAGGGAGGGGGTAGAGTATCCCGGTATCCTCCCAGGCCAGTCCTGGAAGGACATCTGGACACCCACCTCAGAAAGTGTGTGCTTTCTGGGGTGCATGTGGACCAGGCCCCAGGAAACTTTGCGTTTTTTAAACGTGAATGCTCCTGGGATAAAGCCCTGTCTGGAAAGGCCCACTGCTACTTCGTTATGTCCCTTGGTAATTCTGATTCAATTTATTCTTTATTTTGGGCACTTTTATAGGCAATTTTTCAAGGCCAGCAATATAACAAATAAGTACATTGGAAGCAGAATTGTACCATGACCTATAAAGAATTTACAAGTAGTTTGGCTTAATCTCAGAGTGCCCCTGCCAAAGAGAAGCTGTTTGTTTCTGAGCCAAATAGCCTTTTTTTTTCTGAAGCAGTGCCACCAAAAGATTTGGGAAGGGGCATGTATTGCTGAGACAGGTGGTTTATTTCTCCCAGGGTTTCTTCTTCTCACTCATGCAATGCTGGGGGTTTTGATCTTTTCATAGCAGCCTGTAGCTATTGTGGCCTGACCGCCAGGGGGCCGGTGGCCCGACAAAGGATAAGTGGAATAAATTACTGGGAAGAACAGTTTTTTTTAATTCTGCTTGAAGATCTAAGGGAATACAGAACAGTAGTGAAGCTGGCAGAGYCAGACCAAAGAGGCCTTCCGTCTTGGTTCCAACGCCCARCCCCACTCCCTCCCTTGCTGCCCTCTGAATATCTCCAGTTGAAGTGTGGGAATTTTTCTTTTCTTTTRCCTTCTCACAGCTTGCAGGGCCACCTRCGCTTCCCTTTGTGAATTTTTCCTCTCTGGGCAGAAGGAAGGATGTCTTTGCTCCGGACTGTTATATTTTTTCTGACTTTCCTGAAGCCTCTAGAGACTACTGTAAAGGAAGGTGCTGCTGCTCCATTTCTTCAYGAGCCTCCTACGTCCTCCGGGAGGGCAGAAAGAGCTGGAGACATTCAKTCAYCAAGGCGCATCATTCCCAAAGATGCACTGCTGGAGACCCTGGGAGAATTTGGCAGGGTGAGAAGGTCAGGATCCCTGGTCAATTATAGAGGGTGGCCATTCTCCGAAGACCAACTGAAATGGGGAAGGATGCGGAGGGGAACTGAGGATGAAGATTCCCAGCCGTATGTTCCAGGAGTAAAAGTGGAGTTTCCCCGGCCTGGTAACTCAGGCAACCTCCATCCAACCAAGGCCTTGGTGCAATCCAGCACAGACCCATCAGAATACCAGCCCCAAAGGAGCCCAGCAGTTCACGGAGCCACAGAACCACAGAATAACATGACCATGGCTCTAGGAAAACGTCCTCAGATCCAGAACCCTCTGTATCCAGTCACCGAAAGCTCTTACAGCGCATATGCTGTCATGTTCCTGTCCTTAATCGTCTTTGCTGTGGGTATCACTGGGAATCTCTCCGTAATGTGCATCGTCTGGCACAACTACTATATGAAAAGTGCCTGGAACTCCATTTTGGCCAGCCTTGCCTTCTGGGACTTCCTCATCCTCTTCTTTTGCCTGCCAGTGGTCATCTTCAATGAAATTACCAAGAAGAGACTGCTGGGAAGCCTCTCCTGTCGCATTGTGCCTTTTATGGAGGTAAGCTATGCCTCTGTTGTACCCATTTGTGTTGCATGCTATTTACTATATGCCATTTGAGCTTTGGCTGATCTCTTTACATTGCTACTTAGTGAAGTTTATGCCTTCTGTGAAGATGTGTTCTTCATCCTTACCAAGAAGGAAGAATTTCAGATTGGTTCGGCACAGTGAATGGACAAACATCACTAGCCCTCTCCTTAAAATAGTCATAGCTGGTTTTCCAGAATACCAGAATGCCTATGAAAAAAGGGAATATGTGCCTTCTGTGTTATGAAGAATGTAATATCATCAATAATATTATAAATCAACTGTTATGTGTGCACAACTGATCTATGTTATTTTTCTGAGAATCATGTGGTCCTGCTGATTTGATGAAATGCAATTCTGTAAAGCCCTAGTTGACACACCAAACAATAAGGAAAGCTGTCTTGCTTTGTGATTGGTCATTAGAAGGGCTTAAATCACAAATCTCCTGCAGTGGAAGAGAACCTAGATTAAACATAAAGAGCATACATTCATCTCGACATCTAGTTTGAACATCAGCAGTGATGTCTACACTGAGGGTGGGAATCATGTAGTCCTCCAAAGTTTGTTGTATTGCAAGCTCCAGTATCCCCAACCACCATAGCCGATGGTAAGGAATGCTGGGAGTCACAGTCCAATAATATCTAGGTGGTTACATAATTCCAATCTGAAAGAAAACAATATTCACATTTAAAACAAATGAGGAAATAAAGAGGCCACTTTCCTCATCACAACTAATGGATAAACATATAGCTAATTCTGAGTACAAGCTAGTACAAGCAAAATCTTAAGTCCCCCTAGGAAGATGACAGAATTTAAATAATAATATATAGCACAAATAAATCCCTTTTATCAGTGAGGCATGAACCCTTCCTAGAGGCTGACAATCAAAAGCTGTATTCAAGCTATACATTTTTGCAAATATCTAATCTCAAGTATTAAAGGAGTTGAGCAAATTGTCTTGTAGGACAAGAATCCTGTTGGGTCAGTAAACTGACTTAACTGTAGGTTACAGCAGCAGTGGTGTGGGAACCCTTCTGGCACAATGATCATGAAGAGAACAAGGAGAAATAAGATGCTTGGAGGAAGCCAATTTTGTCTGCCCTCTCACACCATCACTGTGAGATCCCGGAAAACCTGCAGCTACAGGAATTCTGACTATAGACAGAGAGACCATAGATAACACTGAGCAAACTATGAGACATTCTTATTGTGAATAATATATTTTTACTCAGGGTTGCTAGGTGTGGGTGGGGCAAACAGCCTGACAGTTGGTCTGTTCTAGTGTCTTTAACAGAGGTTTGGAATGCAGAAATAAGTACAGATTTTGGGCTATAAAATTCCCCCAATCCTCCAGCAAACATAGACACTAGGTAGTTATACACTGCAGCACTCCTGAAGATAATTTTGCCAAGTTCTGGAAATAACTCAAGCTTTTCAAGACATGAGCAAAATATGACCACACTTTTTAAGTGCTGTTATTAAAGGATTTGGCAGGCAAGGTCAGTTCAGAATCTGAGAACTATTCCTTCAGATTCCCATCATTTTTTTTCCTTGGGCAGAAACTTGTGCTTTTAACTGGCAGGTAAGAAACAGAAATTCAGGAATTGCAAGGAAATTTCACTACCACACTGAATCAACACGCTGGGAAGTGCTTCTCAACTGTTTGCTTGTCACACCCACTTTTAAAGTAACAGAAAATAAACAGAGGCAGACCAATACTTTTTTAATGATCCCAGAAATGCTTTCATTCTGTCCACGCACTGCAAAAAATATTTTGAGCTATATAAAGCAATCTTCAAACATGTAAAAAGTCAATTGTTGTAGGCAAATGTTGGATTTTGTCTCAAGGTAGAACCTCAAGGTAGACCCAAGTTATTCTGCATATTGCTGAGCTGATATGAACTTTAATTAATTAACAAATTTATAAATTGCAGTGGATGTGAGTTGAAACCTGAGATTCACCCAGTGTGTAAGGACAGCCTCATCATTACAGGTGTTGTTAACTAAGACCCATTCTACATTACCTTGTAAAATCCAGATTATCTGCTTTTTTCTCGATTATATGGCAGTGGAAAGCTTAGAGAAGGCAATAATGCTGGGGAAAAAGGAAGGAAAAAGGAAGAGGGGCCGACCAAAGGCAAGATGGATGGATGATATCCTTGAAGTGACAGGATTTGACCTTGAAGGAGCTGGGGGTGGTGACGACTGATAGGGAGCTCTGCCGTGGGCTGGTCCATGAAGTCACGAAGAGTCGGAAATGACTGAACGAATGAACAACAACAATATGGCAGTGTAGATTCATATAATCCAGTTCTCCTTTGATAATCTGGATTATATGGCAGTGTAGAAGGGGCCTAACAGAACCAAAAGATCAATGGACTATGTCTCCTTTTGCATTTGAGGCAGGTCTGTGAACAGGTAAATTGCATCTGTCAAAAGAATACTCTAGATGTACCGTATTTCAAGTAGAGATGGGAATGATGGGTCGCATGGGTCCCTAACAGCTTTCTGGGGATGTTTAAGATTTCCCTCTGGGGTCCCATTTGTTGGTGTGTCCTTTACTGTTGTTTCCAACTCACAGTGACCCTAAGATCTAAACCCTATCAGAGGGTTGTCTGGGTCAGAGGCTCACCCAAGGTCATCAGTGGGTTTCAATGGCCGAGCGGAGAATCAAACCATGGTCTCCTGAGTTGTAGTCCAACACTCAAACCAGTACACCACACTACCTTCTATTAACTGCTAGCACTCCAAAACACAGGGAAGTAATTTTCAGGGAGGCCAAACTAAGCCAGCTGCATTGGCTTCCATGGCACAAAAGTGGAAGCAGATCAACTTAAGGAAGTGTCAAAAGGTTCAACTAAAGGATTAATCCTATATATACTTAGCAGGCAGAAAGGCCCTTTGAATACAGTGGTAGGATTGAATATGGAATGAATTGCACAGGCTGTATTTGCAATGTGTATGGGAGCAGCCCTCTAGTATCTATGTCCAACAGTAAATCTGGATTTAAGCATACACAGCTGGGATAACCACCTATTGCTTCACTGCTTTCATCTCCTCTTCTCCCTTCTGCTGTTTCCTGGGGGTGGGGTGTGGGGCGTTAGGCAACTGTTTGTTGTACCTGACAATACCTACAGGGCCATAGGTTTCCCATTCTCCCCATAAGCAATATGCACAGCGGTGGTACAAAAACACACCAGAATTGGTGATGATGGTAATGACGACAATAATGTTGCTGATTGCTCAAATGGAGCACTAGAATCACCTGTGCACAAGAGATGACTGTGGTACTTGGTTGGTTGTTCCCTGGGAGTTTAAGTGTACATGGTGTTTTTCAGAGTAACAGTTTTGATAGTTGGCAGATGATGAGTTTGGATGCAACTGCACGTTTGTAAACTTTGTTTATCAGTTTTTGTGAGGCATGTGCAATACGGCTGTTCTGACTTGGCCTTTTGCATGTGTTAGTTCTCCCAACTCACCCAGTCATATAGTGTAATAATAGATCTTTGCTTGCTTGAAGAGAACGTGTCGCCTCAGCTGCCAACCACTCTGCTCTTCTCTGCCGAGTTTCCAATTCAAGGCAAGATGAGAGCAGTGCAGGTGGTAGAACATCTGTGAGTGATTCAGAGCTTGGCTGTAGGGATAGCTCAGTGCATGGAAGAGGCAGAGAAGACAATGGTATTGTTTGGCAGGGTCACTGGCTATTGGGCCAGGCAAGAGCTTGCTGTAGGAAAACAGAGAAATACTGTCATGGGTCAAGGACTTATTCATGCAATCACAGAACCTATCGCTGCCAGAGGCCGCCACTGTATACTCAGAAAAATGTCTGCCAACACCTGAGAATCAAAATGTTGTACACTTTAGCTGGTTGCTCAGCACCCTCAATTTTCAAAGCTGTATATATATCCCGTATCATGTCAGAAGTGAAAATAGATCATGAATTTTAATATTAGTGTTCATTCAGCAAAATTTCTTGTTAAAATAAATTTGCTTTTGGGCAAATTCTTTTGAAAACCAAAATTGTATGTCTTCATTAGACCTTGTATATTCTATAATCTTAATTTGTTTGCACCTGGTTTACTTTATTTTGCTGCAAAGCTTGTAAGTTGTAGAGGAGTTGGGGACAGGAATCATTTGCTCCAGCAGTAAGCCCTTGCAAATCCTGCCTTCTGTGCTTGTGCATACAGTAGATACATATGTGATACAATACCGAGAATTGCCCTGATAAGGCCATGCTGATGGACCACAGAAAGGATGCCTCCCCCAAACTCTGAATCAGAAGAATCATGTTTTTATCAAGGAGATAGTGGTGGTGGTGATGGGAAAATGTGGAAGTAGGGGTATGTTTATCAGCACTACCATGAAAAATATGTAAATCAACTTTGTGTATAAGTTCGGGATAGATTTAGAGACCAAAATTATGGATGTTGATATGTTTTTCTCAGTTGTATCTCCAAAACAAATTTTTGTCTTAAATTAACACTAGCCATAAAAATGGAGGACCATTGGTTTAATTTTTTGTTCATAATATTGCTTCATTTTTCAGGTTGTAGGATTTGGTAAGTGATGGATGGTGAGGAATCTGATTTTAATATACGTGCTATATTAACCTTACAGTTATATTTTCTCTGTTCCCACACATAATTTTGGTTTGACATTTCATTCCAGGTAGGCTCATAGTTTCAGTCAAAAGCCCTGCTCCCCGGCACCCCTCCTTTTTAAAAAGTGAGTTTATTTCTTGAATTGCTCAGATTTGTGAGTGATGGGTTTAGGTTTTTTTGTTTGTTTTGTTTTTCATGTCAGGAGCGACTTAAGAAACTGCAAGTCGCTCCTAGTGTGAGAGAATTGACCGTCTGCAAGGACGTTGCCCAGGGGACGCCCAGATGTTGGATGTTTTACTCTCCTATGGGAGGCTTCTCCTATGTCCCCGCATGATTTGTGAATTTTGATGACCCATGGAAAAGTATAGTGTCATTTTGCATAGCGGGAAAGCACCAATCACTGTCACAATCTTCCCTCCAGAAGAGGGATAGATCAGGGCATTGCTCCAGCAAAGCAAAATTCACCACCCCACCATGACATTTTCCTTCAGTCCACTAATTTCTAGTATTGTAGTAGCTTAAAACTTCAGTTGAACATTTAGAAATAGTTTAGACACTCAAAGATAAAGAAAAGGCAAGTTTACCAAGGAAATGCAAACACAGCAAATGTGAGAACTTTGGGTATGAACACTTTTCAATGCACTACTCTGCTATGATACAAATTTGAGGACAGAAGGAACATTTCATTGGGGGTGCAGCATTCCTGCTTGGTAGGTAATAACTTCAATTTTACACACACACTATAGTTATATCCCTTTTATAGCTCACTAACATTTGCCCTCCCATTCTTGGCTTCTTATTTTATTTATCGTGTCAGGAGCAAGCCAAACAGTTGTATTGCATTTTTTAACAAACAAACAAAACAAAACACAAAGTTTGCAAGCTTGGTAGTTGATTAAATGTCCTTTGACCAGTAGCTGGCCACTCTGGTGTTACTATAAGAAGGTCTTTCATTGTGCATGTAGCAGGGATCAGGTTGCATCACAGCAGATGGTCTGTAGTTTGTTCTTCTCCACACTCGCATGTCGTGGATTTCACTTTGTAGCCCCATTTCTTAAGGTTGGCTCTGCATCTCGTGGTACCAGAGCGCAGTCTGTTCAGCGCCTTCCAAGTTGCTTCTTAGCTTCTGGAAATCAGGGGCCAACCAACTGAACAATTGGTATGCAAAGCAACATTATGCCGCCCTACCATTAAGCAAAGTGGGGCAGCGGCAATGAATTGGAGGGCAAAGGTGTGTACATTTTGTGTAGTCTGCTGTTGCCAGATGTGATGTGGAAGACCATATCCCATCACCATTGTTGACATACCATGATCTTTCACGTAAAAAAGCCTTGAGCTGGTCTTTAGGCTGGTACTACAAGATTATCTAGACTGCTAATATATCTCAGAGAAAAGTGTGGGTGTTGTAAGAATTATCTAAATTTTTGTATATCTCCAGATTAAGATTAGATTGAGAGAGCATCTACTCATTTCTTTAAAGAGCACTGTGAGAATCAGATCTTAGAGGCACAAACTGTAGCCTGGAAGTGCTCTGTTAATTGTAGGGTTGGCTCCAGTTAAAAGGACACGGAACATTTTTGAAGAAAGTATGCCTCTCTTCCCAATTTCCGATGTTTCTTGCACTCAATGAATGCCCCTTGTTCCCTTCAGAAGTGAGCGGGTGCCTGCAATTAGGGCCCTGAGCTTTTGGGCGATCTGTAGTCCAAATGGGGCGTTGTGTTTCCTGAGGCTAAGGGAAAACCATGTTTGTAATAGAGAGCGCAGCGTGGGGGGGGGGGGGGGGGGGGGGGGGGGGGGGGGGAGGACAGCCCAACTGATATTTATTCATGTAGTTCATTGTGTTTCAAACCCACCCAGTCTTTGGCATTTTCTGCTGCACACTTTGCCCTCTTCCCTTTTGGCAAACAAGGATGTTTTCCTAGGACTCTGAATGCAGCGGAAATTAACAAGGACCGGTTGGGGACATCAACAAACCTACTTGAACTCATTTGGTGCTCAGAGAGCGGATGCATTTTGGTAGGAAGAAGCAGAATGGTAGGGGTGGTTTGTTTAGAGGGGCTTTCAGAACCAAAGCTTGTTTAGGGAGAACTTGTTAAGGGCCTGGGAATCTCCTCTGCACTACAAGTGTGTCCCTACCTTCCAACCACAATTAAGTACTAATTGGTTTTGGTAAGTACACTGGGCCTTTGATATCCACAGGAGTTTGGTGCAAGAATCCCCCACGGATACCAACTCTCAAATGCCCAAATTCTGTTATTTACAATGGCATAATAAAATAGTGACACATAAAATGGCAAAATTTTAAGTTTTGCTTTTTGGGTGGGTGGGGGGCAGCTCTCATTTTTGTTGTCCATGGTAACGGAGGGCCAGTGAGGTCTGATCCACATAAAATAGAATGAGAAGAGTTCTCAGGTGGTACCATTACAGGTGGAGGATATTTAATGTTTCCCCAGCTACCTCATAAATTGTATTTAAGTAGCAAAGAAGCACATCAAGAAGGAAGATTCATCTTAATCCTTTGCTTGTTATCCTGGTTTGATTTGAAAGAAAGTTTAAGCAAAGGTGTATTTTAAAGTTTGACTTGATCACTGACTGGTGCAGTGCAAATATGTTTTGTTATGTATCAGGTGTGGCCTCAGCCTGGTTTCCTGGAGGATATTTAGAGATGGCAAAAAAGTAGAGGAGGCAGGGCTTACAAGAAAGCCACTCTGAAGCCACACTAGAAATTTTAATTGAGTAAACTGGAATATGACCTGGGTTATGTGGTTTTAATTGTTGTTTTTATGTTATGTTTTAATAGGTGGGTTTTAATGTTTTTGTTTATTCATTGATGAATGTGTACATGCGGCATTGAATTGTTGCCTCTGTAAGGCCGCCTGGAGTCCCCTTTAGGGTTGAGAAGGGTAGGATACAAGTATGGTAAATAAATAAATAAATAAACAATCTAGTTACTTAAACGTATTTATCTTACATTTAACCAAACAGACATTTTTGATTAGCTAAATTGCACCAGACAACAATCTGTTTCTGTTCTCTGTGCTTCTAGGTGTCTTCCTTGGGCGTGACCACCTTCAGCCTCTGTGCTTTGGGCATTGATAGATTCCATGCAGCCACCAGTCCTCAAGCCAAGCTCCGGCCCATTGAACATTGTCACTCCATCATTGCCAAGCTCGCTGTTATCTGGGTGGGTTCCATGACCCTTTCTACACCAGAAATCCTCCTCTGGCAGTTGGCACAGGACACCTCTCCAACCTCTGGCATAGTGACTGACTATTGCACCATGAAGCCTTCACAGGATCTGCCCGAATCAATTTATTCTTTGGTCCTCACTTACCAGAATGCCAGGATGTGGTGGTACTTTGGATGCTACTTCTGCCTACCCATCCTCTTTACTGTCAGTTGTCAGCTTGTCACCAGAAGGATCAGCAGCACAGACAAGACTGATTGCCGTGGTAATAAGCATGGGCAGTGTGAGAATCAACTCAATTGCACAGTGATTGGCCTGACAGTCATCTATGCTCTTTGCACAATTCCAGAGAATGTCAGCAATATTGTTGTGGCCTATCTGTCCCCTGATATGTCTAAACAGACCCTGGACCTGCTAAGTCTCGTCAACCAGTTCTTCTTGTTCTTCAAGTGTTCAGTGACTCCTGTGCTGCTGCTGTGCCTCTGCAAACCCCTGGGCCAGGCCTTCATGGACTGCTGCTGTTGCTGTTGTGATGAGTGTGGTCAAGAAGCTGCCTCCAATGAGGGTGGCTCAGATGGCAAGCTGAAAACAGAGATGTCCTCGTCCATCTTCTTTGACAAGCCTCGAGAGTCACCTCCTCCTGTGGGGGCCATCGGCACCCCTTGCTAAGCTCAATCATCCTTTGGGGGGAGCATTAGCATTTTTTTATCAGCTTCTCCCAAGACCAAATGTTTTCTTCTTCTTTAGTATGAATTGGTCAAGTGACTTGACAGTGGAGGTTGGAGTTGGTGTCATCACCTATTTGCTGTTCCAACAAGAGTGACTTAATGACAAGACCTCAGAGACAGCTGTCTTCTCTGCTCAACAGCTATGAAGGCTGAAAAGGTCTCCTAGACCAACTCCAACCCAATCCTGGACATGACGAGAAGGGATGATGCCCCAAGTGAGTGAGGTTCAGAGAAAAGATTAATTTTAGAATCATAGACTCATAGAGTTGGAAGAGACCACCAGGGCCATACAGTCAAATTCCCTGCCATGCAATTCCTCCAGAACAGAGATCATAGCATCTTGGACAGGACATAGTACACACTAACCCCTTCCACTCTTTTTCAGGATCTCACTTCCCTCTCTCCAGCCCAAGAGAGACTACATCATATACAAAATATAAGCACTACCCTAGCCTCAATAAACCAATACACTAGGTGGAAAATACATGTCTCCTGTGGCACATACCTTTCAATATGTTGTACAGTGGCTAGTTGGTTTGTAAACTTCTTCCAGTAACCCAAAGTGAAGTTACTCACTTGATGTGGTCTTTAAATGGAAGCACATTGTTTCTTCTTCTTCCCAAGGGTTGGTTTACCTGGAAAGTYTATTATGTATCTTTGACATTGTGGTAAGGAGAACTGAAAATTGCTTGGATATTRCATGACCAAGTAGCTATCTTCCACCTAACTTCAGTGTACTTAATCAAACTTCTGTTGACACCAATGGGTAWGTGGCTAATAGTAGCTTTSAATTGTTTTTTTTTTCCTACAACTACAGCACAGGAAGAGAGTTAGTCTCCCCTGCTTGACACCCTTCAGATGTGCTAGACTACAACTGTCATCATCCATTGACCATGCTGTCTGGATATGATGGAAATTGTAGCTCAGCATATCTAAAAAGCTGGGGGACACTGGGCTAAACCTCCTGCCTGTACAGCACGGACCRTATTTTAAAAATAATTTACACAGATACAAGTGATATGTTTAATGTCATATATGGTCTAAGRCTAGTGTTCCCTGTTCCCCAGCCAAACAGCAGCTGCTCCTCTATTTGATGAGTTCACAGCATTAGAGTGGAATAAACAGTGTAAAGGATGGCTAGATGGATTCTGCATCCTGTGTTTTTACAGAATAATGCCAGTGAGTGGATGGATTCTCTCTCCAAGATCATAAAAATCTGGAAAACACTGGATTATGTCTCCATCCAGTAACAAAAATGATTTAATTGCTATGATTTTGCAGTATCTTGAAAGCAAGAAATGCCTTCTGTTATATGCAAGCTCCAGTTCTCATGTGCATGCTGGGGATGCCTTCCCCCGGGAGCAACACTGATCTAGGGGACACATACACAGAGCTCTTTGTTGGGTTCAAGCACCACCTGTGGCTGTAGGCTTTGACAAGGGGCAAGCTGTGGCTTGCCCATGAAGCCAGAATAGAACGCTCTACAAAACCAGCACAGAATAGCTACAGAAGTCAAATGGGTGTCTGTTCAAAGCTCAAGCCAGAGGATCTCACTTGTGTCTAATGGCTTGAGATTTCCTGAACGGAAAGGCTCCCTCTTCATCACACTAATGAAAAATGATTTGTCCAAGTAGTATAAATGATAATACCATTGCAATGCCCTCCACATTTGACAATGGTTTGAAGAGTCATTTTACACACAGATGTTCAAATGTACAGTCAGCCTCCCACATTCCCCGTGAAAGTGGCAAAACTGTAAATAAAAAACATGGGTTTTTTTCTACCCGACAGAACATCTCTCTGATAATTAATCTCTAGGTTCTTCAGTGTGACTCTATGGTCAACCTCCTGTGGAAATTGACTGCAGAGACAGATTGAAGGACCTAGACAGACCATATTAATCAAACTGACAGAAGTTAAACCTGCAAATGTGGAGGGCTGGCTGTAGATGAAAACATCTGGGAAATTTGAATTGCTGTTTATACTTACTTCATCTCAGCTTTGTTTGCTTCCATGAAACTTTATGTTCCTGTTTCTTCCCTGCCTGTCTACCCCAGCCGCAAATATTTTTATTTTTAAAATTACATCAATACATGAAGGAACAATCACAGCATACAGATGTGACAAGAACACCTTGAACCATTGCCATGCTCTGAGTATGGATTGTGCATATGGCTGACCTTTACAAACATAGTATGCATACTCCTGGGACCCATAACTAGCAAAGACCCTTAAGTGTCCACTTAAGGGTCTTTGAATGTCCATCATTCAAACTCCTCAACTAGCTGTACAGTTAGATAAAACGAGGCAGCTGCTTCAGTTATGAGCTTTGTGAAATGAAATCACTTTGTTTTTCACTATTTTTCTTAAACTTTTGGTCATAGGGAAATTTATGGGATTTTCTCTCTCTTACACTAAGGCTTATTATGCACTTTGGCCTAGGTGCATATGAGAGCATTTGCTGCTCTACCTCAGGCACCAAATACTTTTGGCTGGCCCTGTAAACAGGAATGTATTAAACGACTTCAAAAATGTTTCTGCATTGCTCTACCCTTTTAGTGTAGCCTCTGAGGTGGGAGGCATTCATTCATATTCAATAACACACCAGTTTACGATAATTTCGCCTCACCTCCAAGTGCCCACATTTTTTCTTCTAAGCCAGTATCTCACAGTATTGGGATAACAAGAACCAGATTGTACTCATGCAGAGAATAGCCCGAGGTCATGGTTCATGTGTAAGCAAGAAAACAGAAAGATCCAAATTTACCCATTTCACCTTGTTGAAAGGTTAGGTTTTTAACAGATTTGGTGATGCACAGACTGATTGTCCAGGTTAACAAGTTAATCCACTAGGAGCAGAAAGTGCTAAAAAAAACTTCTAAGCTTAAGATTCTTTGCTTTCTTCAGGAGTAGAAGATAGATATGGGTTTTCCAAGTATACAATATACAACAATTGAGATATACAATAAAATCCCAAATACATGATGATTGCTTTTATTAGCCCGTTCCAAAAATACTAAATGAAAACTGTAAAAAAAAGACTAGTTTTCAAAAGATAGTAAAAAAAAACTACATAAAAGAAAAGTAACAATGTCAGAATCACTGGCCAAAATCCTGTTTAAGATGTTGCTTAAGTTGTTTAGAATGCTCTTGAAGAAGGGCTGATGCAGGAAGAGCCCCACCTTCTGTTGGTTATGTAAGTCCCATTCCTTTTTGCTCCCTTTAGTTTTCTTTAGTTAGTAGATTGAAAGTGCCATTGCAAATGGGAAAGGTCTCAAAATTAGTTTTCAATTGAAGCAGATGGTGGCTGCTCTTTATAGATGGATATATCCAATGTCATTTGCTTTCAGGTGCATTTAGCTGTGTTCCATCAAATAAGGAAACCCCATACCATGTAATAATAGCAATAGCGGGTCAAGAGGCTGTAACATGAGCAAAGCAAGGCACAACAAATCTGACCTAACCAAAATGAATGTTCACGTTTCCCAAAAGTGCTGGCAAATATTGTCTTGCAGGATATTAGGGCATATCCATATATGAGGGTCTCCATATCGAAAGCTGCCAGGTATCAAGTGACAGGAGTGGCTTCTAGACCATAGCTGTGACCACTCAGGGGTTGCACTGAGTTAGATGGCCCTGGTTTCAAATTGTATCATCTTCCCACCCTAATACTAATCTATGATTTACAATGGCATATCTCTCTCCCTCAACAAATGATGTAGCATTAAGATGAACACCTTTTGAGAACGCAACTTGGCTTCCACTATTCCTTGCATTCAGCTGTCCTCCACCCGCTCTGCTTAAGCAAGTGGCTCCCAGCTCTGTTTGTTCCTTGCTCCCTTTGGATTGCACCCTCAGGAGCAATAAATGGCACTGAGAGAGGGAGGCAGTTGCTAGGGGACAGGATACAACAGGGGGGAAGAGATCAGTGAGGGCTTTGTGTAGGGAATGACACCCACAGTTCCTTCTTGAGCCTGCTGCCATGGAGACAAAGCCTCTGTCTTTGTACAAAGAAAGTGATGTTTGGATTGCTGCCCCCATTAGCAAACAGGAGCAGTCCTGGGTAGGCACACTTGATGTATCTCCCAAGGAACCATCTCTGACCAACAGACTAGGCAATGGCATTTTCTCCCTTACTGGACAGAAGGCCAACCCTTTGCTCTTGAACTATTCATCACTTTTGATGAGACCTGAAGGGGGGTTTGGGGGGAGAGAGGAAGGGCTGTGAGGTCAGTGCTGCAGTAGTCAGGCCACAGCAAAATCATCCACAACCACAACGTCCACCCAGCTGGAGTGTGGGAAACAATGAAGCCAGATAGCTTTAGCCAGATAGGTCACTGAAGGCAGAAAATGTAACGGTCACAAGGGAGAGTGAAAAATGCAATGCAGTGTTTGATATTGAGGAGTCAATTTTAGGGAATGCTTTTGATGGAGGTGCCTTCTATAGAATCTGATTCAGCTTTTACACAACCCACGTTGTAAGGAATTCTGAAAGCATTCTAAGACATGCACCCAGCCAGCAAGGGACACTGGTGAGACCCGTTCATTAAACCAAAAGTGATTTTGCACTCTACAGCACAAACATGTAGGGCGGAATTGGTAGTGCCATGTGTGGAAACAGAAGGCCAAATTCCAACATCTTTTAGGCTTATCAAAGCCCGAAAATAAAATTTAAAATTCAGTGGCCACAGGAATTTCTCCTCTGTGCTTCATAGACATTTTAGGAGTTGGCGTTTTTACAGAAAACATGTTTCACTGGGACATGATAGGCGTTGTCATCCAGTCTAGAATATTTCATTGGAAGCTGCTTTTCCCAGTCGTCTACCTTGGCTTTTGGTGAGGAAAGACTGATTCAACCAGTCATCTTGCCTTAGGAGGTATTTCACTATCAGTGGACTCACTGACATCTTTTCTGGTTGATGAAACCAAAGGTAAGTCAAAGGTTCTACGCTTTGCTTTCAGCTTACCTTGCCCAGCCTTATTTGATCCTGACTTCTGAGGTAAATGGTTCTGTCCCTCAACTCTGGGCTTCAACTTGTTCTCTTCCTGTTGCCTCAACTCTCCCCTCACTGAGTGGGCATAAGTAACAGCCAACCTCAATCCTAGAGAAGCAAATACCATTTGGGAATTGAGACGTTCAAAGCCACACAAAGAACAATGTGAACACTGCTGTACTAGATTAACTCTTACTAAATTGATGCCCTCCAGGATTTCAGCTCCCATTATCCACCACTAGAATGGGGCTGATGAAGAATATAAACACATTAATAATACAGTATATAATGATGGGTGGGGAAAACTACATTAAGCAGAGCAATAAACTTTCATCTGCCAACCCAAATGAACATTAGCATATTTCAAAGGGCATAAAGCTCATCATGTCAAATAGTGGCTGCAGAAACCGACTGTAGAAGTTATAAACATTTAGAACTGAAACGGTGAATGCAGAATGCTGGTTTGTTATTTTAAAAAATTCTGGCCT